ATGCTTGCTGTGGCTGCGAAGAGACAGCCGTGGGGTGAGGCGGGCCTGCCTGCACCTGCGGGCCCCGGCGGGGAGCAGGGCGGCGGGGACGGAGGCCGTCCTCCCCTCCTCCACGGGGACAGCTGGCTACACTATAGGCCATCTTGCACACGCACAGGCCCTACCTCCCAGGGGTGGGGGCTACGTACGGTCAGCTCCAAGGGCAGCTGTGGGGGTGACGAGAGCCCGGCCGCGGGCCAGGGTCTGTAGGACTGGTTCCCCGAAAGCAAATGTAGGAGAGAGAGGCTGACAGTGAGGGGGTGGAGCCCAGACGGAGGCCAGGCGGGGTGAGGAGGGAGGGGGGCAGCAGTGAAAGCGAGCAGGGGCTGGTGGGCTGGGACACAGGCAGACCAAGGCTGGGACAGAAGGACAGCCCCGCGCCCAGTGAGCACACACCGTCCCGGGTTATTCCGGCTGCCACGTCCAGAGCTCGCCCGCTGAAGTCCCTCACGATGCTGTCCACGGCCTCGTGATGCTTTAGAAACAGTGGCCGAATGGCGCGATGATACAGCATGTGAGCCCCGTTCCAAGGCCCGGGAATCATGCAGAACAACAGGAAGGCGCACTGTGGGCACAGGGCAGGAGTTACACTCTGTCCCTCAGGGACGAGCCTGGGCCACCCCATCAGACACCCCTTGGGACGGGCCTACGTCCTCAGAGAAGGTGAGTCTCCCCTTTGCACCCTGGGGGGCAGGACAGTCCCGTGCGTGTCCCGAGGGGCACCCACCTTGCCCGCGTAGTAGAAAGGGAACCAGGATAGGAGTAGATCGCTGAAGAACTCGGCCAGCCCGAACAGGCCGTACACCACCCAGTACGTGAGCCACACAGTGTCGTCTTCTTTGCTTGGGCTCTCGATTGCTTTGATTCTGGGGGGAGGCGGGCAGAGTCATGGGCTGCCCAGAGCGCCCAGACGCCCCCCACCTGGACAGCCAGCAGGCACTCACGAAGCATATGCTGGGTACACAAAGCCGATTACATTGCACAGTAGAGACGCCCCGAAGCCGAAGAGAAGATACAGGCTTAGCAGAATGGCGGCTCCTGCGGAAGAGAGCGTGTGGGCAGGACGGCACCAGACCGTGGCGCCCCAGGCCGCCTCCTGGCCTGCCAGACACAGTCTGCAACAACCAATCCCCCAGAAGCCTCGGGGACCCCTCCAGGATGCATTTGCTGCCCCTGCAGCACCTGGACGACCCCCACCGCGGCCCTCAGCCCCGTGTTTTGTGTCTGTAACCAGTTAACTGGTCGGTCTCCCCCCAACCTCTGGACTGTGAGCTCCTTAAGGGCAGGCAGGGACCTTGGCCCTCATAGGTAGAGTAGCTGCCCAATAAATGTTTGTTGAATGAATACGTGACCATCTGCAATTGTAACTGCTTACTCCAGGTCCTATGGGAGAGGGAGGGCACAAGGGACCAGCATTTAAATGTAAGTGACGGGAGAAAAACCTAAAAGAAAGGCCATTCTGACATTAAGGCTTGACTCCCAGTGAGCAGAGAAAGGCAACATTTGTAACTTTGATCTCAATGGAGTTTTTCATCCTCACCCCTGCAGACAAGCCATGCGGGATCATCTTCTGTGGGGGCGTCCTGGGCACTGGCAGGGGAGATGAAGCAGCATCCTCGGCCCCACCCTGTCGATGCCAGGAGCACCCCCAGTCGTGACAACCACCCATGTCATGTCCCCAGACACTGCCCAGGGTCCTGAGGGGGACCGCATGGCCCCGTGTGAGGACCCTTGTCAGTGCGAGACAGCTGAGAGCAGTAGAGTCCCCCAGACCCAGGAGAGCCCTCTGCTGTTCCACCTACCACATGACACCAAGCAAGTCTCTCTCCGCTTGGAGCCTCAGTTTCCCCATCTGTCAGTGGGATGGTAATGGCCCTGCCTCCTAAGGTTGCTGTGGGGGTGGCTAAATACCACTCCACAGAGGGGCTCCTCCTGTCTACGCGTTAACTGAGCACCTTCTAGGCATGCAAACACATTCCCAGGGATGAGGGTTCCAAGAAAACGTTGGGGGAGGCGGGGAGTCAGGAGCGCGAGCCACTCTGAAAGCATTAATGGTAAATACTGCATTTATTAAGTGCTTCTTGTGTGCAGGTCCCTTCACTTCCCCACTGTAGCTCGTTCAATGGCCAGAACAACATGGGAACCCGGGGAGTGAGGCCCAAGGTCACTCACAGAGCATTTTACAGCCTCCAGCCTCCTCCCCCAGCCTGTTATCTGCAGAGATAGAGGTCACTTGTGTACCCAAGGGCAGAGTCACCCCCACCCTTCCCTACACCTGCATTAGTCTTTGTCCCTAGGGCCTGGGGTCAGGAGAGGGAGGGGAGCCTCCCCAGTCGGCCCTAGGAGGTCACTGCCTCCTCTGGGTTTCCTCCCTTGTTATCTGGGCTGGGGATTTGGTCGTTTGGAGCAGGTGGGGCCCAAGAGTTCCCACATCTGGGCAAGGGGGCAATTGCTAGTTGGGGAGGAGTGGCTTTCCTAGGGCACCTCTCCCCTCAATCCCTATTCCTGCAGCCTCAGCAATGGGCGGATGACATGGGGGGAGGGCACAGCCCCAGAGATCAACAACAGATGGGGCTTGGGGGGGAGTGGGTAGGGAGGGGTGGATGCTCGAGACGGGGCAGGTGGCGGAGGCAGCCTCCCTCAAAGCCTCTGACTCTCTAGGCCTCAGTTTCCTCCCTGTGACTCCCGGCCTCCCCACAGGCCCCTCCCCAGCGCTCTATGACCTAAATTTCCTGCCCATGGGTACCAGGGCTGTGGACAATCAGCAGAGAAGTCAGGACCTGCTCCCAGGGGGCAGGTTCCCGGCTGAGCTGACGTGGTTGGGCACAGGAGGCCTGAGGGAGTAAATATGGGCCTTCCTTGGGCTGCCAGCCATGGGAGTACCCCCACTGGGGGGAAAAGGGAGGAAAGAGGACTCCCAGGACCTGCACACACAAGGTGCTCCGAATACATGCCCCTGCCCTTGCCCAAAGCCCCCCACCAGGTCTGGACAAAGTGTCCCCGAGATCCATTCCAGGGGGCTTCCTTGGGGAGGCGGCAGCCCTGATGGGCCTGGAACACAGAAAAAGAGAGGAGGAAGGCATTTAAGGAGTGCTTACTAGACAGTTTGGGAGGGTGGTGGGGGCCAGCCAAGGTCATTGAGGAGGCACTCCTGGGATGGAGTAGCGGGACGATCGATCAGGCTCCATCCCAGGATGATCCCTCACAGTCAGGAGTAGCTGGACCCCCTCTCTCTGGTCCCCCACCCAATATTTCTCCAACTTCACTGCAGCAGTCAAACAACCCAATTCAACTACTCACGAAGTGGGCCAAAGCCATCGGGGAGTAGAGGGAGAGGGCAGGCTAAGGGGAGGGTACTCGCAGGAAAACAATGGGGGGAAGAGGGATGGGAGTGACCCTTCCCCTCCTGGCCTGGAGCATCTCCGTCGACAAAATGGTAAGATCTCTACACTTGCTTCCAGGCTGGGCTCCATGTGGGACAGGGATGTGGCAAGACTCCCAGGGCACTGGCTGCCTACCCGTGGCCCTCTCCTCCCGCAGGGCGTACAGAACAACTGGAAGAACCCGACTTCGGCCTGGCGGTCACCCGGGGCCACCAGGGAAGGCGCAGCGACGGCCTCCAGACCCGAGGACGGGAATGGAGGTAATGCAGGGGCCGAGAGAGGGGGGTGGCACTCGCCCTAGATCGCACGGCGGGGGCAGGCGAGAGCCTGCAGGCAGACGCGAAGTCCTGGTCCACGACCCCTCCCCAGGATCTCCGTCTCCCTGCTGGACAGTGGGGTGCACCCCGCCGTCCGAGCCCGGACCCCGCAGAAGGCGCCGGCCGGAAAGGGTCAGGTCCGGAACCCGGGTGCCCCAGAGCCTCAATATGCCCGTCGGCGAAATGGGGCAGCAGTCCCGAGCGCCCCGGACGGCTCACCCGCGGCCAAGTACCGCTTGTCGACACCTGTCTTGGCTTCGAGAGCCCCTAGCGCTTCGGTGGCCAAGTTCCTCTGTTCCAGAAAGCGCTCGAAGCGCTGGCGCAGGCCGTCCATGGCACCGGCGGGCCCGGGGCTGGCAGCCCGAGCTCGACCGCTGCCCTGCGCACCGGCCCCGCAGCCCGCGTGCCGCCTTCCCCGGGCGCGAGCAGCTCGGCTCCGCCCCCGGGCTGGTCTCCGCCCCCGGGCTGGTCTCCGCCCCCGAGCTGGTCTCCGCCCCCTGCCCCCCGCTCCGGCCAATGGGAGGGCAGGGCGGACAAAGGAGGTGGGGCCTGCCCCGTCTCCCCCGCCGCATTGCCCTCTGGCGGGCCGCGGCCGCCTCAGCCGCGACTCCGGGGGAAGGGGGCGGGGCGCGGAGGACAAGGGTGCGGATTGGCGGAGCGGGGGCGGGACGTAGCGGATTGGAGGGGCGGGGTCATGGCCGGGGATTATTGACTGAGCTGTTGTGGGGGCGGAGCTGGTGGGAGGACCCGAAGAAAGACCAGAGATGATTGGCGAGAACAGGGGAGGGGCGGGGCTGATCATAAAGGAGGAGGGACAGAATCTCAGGGCAGGGGGATGAGATGGAGCTAAATCCAGGAGGCGGGACTTACTCGGAAGAACAAGCCCGGTTGGACCGGGCAGGAGGCAGGGCTGATTCAAGAGGGAGGGGTGGGCAGGAAAGTGGGCGGGCCCAAATAAAGGGGCGGGGCCAGGGCTGGCAGCCGAGAATCCGCTCCTCTTGGTCGGAAGATTTGGTCACTGTACAAATAGGGGAGACTGAGGCTCCAGAGGGTTTGGATCTGCGGAAGACCGGGGCCGGCCTTTGTCCCCTCCCGACCTCGGCCGGATCTTCGCGCTCCTCAAGGGGAAGCCGCAAGGCCCTCTGGGAGTTGAAGCCTTCCAGGGGTTGCTATGGCCTCGGGGGCGGGGCGGGCGCCTGGGACTCGGCGGTTTGGCCAGGGGGAGGGGCTTTCGGAGGCCCCGGCCCGGCCCCGCCCCCGCCGCCATGCGGCCCGCCCAGACTGCGCTCTGGCTGCGCCTAGTAGTAGCCCTGGGCCTGGCCCTCGTTGGCCCCCTGCCTGTGGGGTGGCCCTCGGCCCGGGCCCCCATCTACGTCAGCAGCTGGGCCGTGCGGGTGTCCCAGGGTTACCGGGAGGCCGAGCGCCTGGCGCGCAAATTCGGCTTCGTCAACCTGGGGCAGGTGGGTAGGACCCAAATGGACAGGAGGGGCGGGGGCTGGACGACCCCAGACCCGGAGACGGGAGGGGTACCCAAGATATCAAGAACCCCCAGCCCACCCTTGCCTCGACCACCTTCAGATTCTGGGACCTCTAGAGGGCACCTGGTTGGGGGGAGGACGCAAGCAAGAGGCGTGGACCACTGTCCTGGGGGATTCCATCTCGGAGCCAGGTGCCACAGTTGCTGATGCTTCCCCACGTCCCCAGATCTTTCCTGACGGGCAGTACTACCACCTACGGCACCGGGGCGTGGTCCAGCAGTCCCTGACCCCACACTGGGGCCATCGCCTGCGCCTAAGGAAAGACCCCAAGGTGAGCCTGGCCTAAGGGTCTGGCCACCTCCTGCTATTCAAGGCCCCTCGCTCTCTTAGTCTGGGTTTCCACTTGGTACCCCCCCCGCCCCTCTTCTGTACAGTGGGGACCATCTGTGGAGATCAACAGGTCACAAATGGGTGCCGCGCGCACCTCAGGGCCTGGCCTACTGTCAGCATTTCTTGTCTCCCCGCCCCCCCCCACTCCCCTCCTGTAGCTCACTCTGAAAGATCAAGGTTCCTCTGTACTCCATAAAGACGGCAGGTACCGTTCTAGTTCCTGGAATGGAGGGAAGGGAATTGGCCCTTTTTAGGACAGAAGCAATGGCTCCAGAGTAGGAACCTTGCCTAGAGTCACCCAGCGAGACTCTGAGATGCTCAGAGAGGTGCCAGACTAGGGGAAAAGGCTTTAGATGCCAGGCTGGGGAGTTGAGGCTGAATCTGCAAGCCCTCAAGAGTCATGATGGGGTATGGGCTGGGCCCCGGGGGCTGATTGGCAAGGAGGTAAGAGGTTTGGTAACCTGAAACCCACTGGGAGCACTGGGTGCAGGAGTTGCTGGTTCCAGATGGGGTCTACAGGAGACAGGCCAGGGTTTGCCAATGGATTGGATTTGTGGGACAGAGAGAAATCAGGGCCAGCTCCCAAGTCTGAAGCTGTGCAAATGGGGAGACAATTGCCCTATCACAGATAGGGGTGAGGGCACATGAACTGATTTGGGGGGTGGGAGATCAACAAGGAAAAAGGAAGGGCAGAGGTCTGAGGAAGAACAGCCTGGGGCAGGCAGAACAGCATGTGCAAAGGCCCCGGGTGAGGGAGCCACTGTGGCTGTTGTAGCAGAGGGAAGCTGGTGAGGGCCAGATTAAGCAAAGCTTTGTGGGCCCTGGAGAGGGGGGGGCAGCATGGGAGAGTCTCAGCAGGGAGTGAGGCTGCAGTGTTGTAGAGAGCACGGGGGCTGAGGGGGAACCCGGGAGGAGGCAGGTATGGCCATCGAGGGATGCCTTTTGAGGGGTGGGGAGGAGTGGTAGAGAGAAATGGCCACTACAGGGGGGAGATGGGCAGGTCTCGGGCAGAAGGATCTAGAACAGGGACTAGGGAAGGGGCAGGGTTGGACTTCAAGAGCAGTTGCCACATGTCAGTGGGCCCAGGGCCTCAGGCACACAGGGACCCCAAAGAGCAGCCTCAGCAAACACAAGGTCCCGGGCCCTGTTCCACACCATGAGGGACCCCGGACAGGCAGTGGACAACCCAGACACATCCCACCCAGCCGTAGCCCCACAGACAAGCTCCCCTTGGTGTACCTGGGGAACAGGCCTGTTGACCGTGGAAGCAGCCCCGGGACCCTTTGACCGGGAATTGGTGGGAAAGACTGGGAGGGGCAGGACCCTCTAATGTGCATGGGTGTGGGGGCAGGATCGTTGGGTGGAGGGTGGGCTGGCTCTTGGGGTCCAGCCCCCTCCTGCAGTGTGCATCCGCCTCTAGGTGCAGTGGTTTGAGCAGCAGACGCTCCAGCGGCGGGTGAAGCGCTCGGTGGTGGTACCCACGGACCCCTGGTTCTCCAAGCAGTGGTACATGGTGAGCAGGCCGGGCTGGGTGGTGGGGGCGGGTGGGGCCAGAGCCCCACTGACCCCAGCGCCCGCCTTGCACAGAACAACAAGGTGCAGCCGGACCTGAACATCCTGCAGGTCTGGAGCCAGGGGCTGTCGGGCCAGGGCATTGTGGTCTCTGTCCTGGACGATGGCATCGAGAAGGACCACCCGGACCTCTGGGCCAACTACGTGAGACCACGGGGACCGGAGTGCTGGGTGGGGGCTGCCCCAGGTCCCACAGCCGGCCCCCCAGCCCTCATGGCCCGCTCTGCCCCCAGGACCCCCTGGCCAGCTACGACTTCAATGACTATGACCCAGACCCCCAGCCGCGATACACGCCCAGTGATGAGAACCGGTGAGCCCGGCGTCCTCCAGCGTGTGAGGCCCACCCCCACCCCGTGCCTTGCGGGGAGCCGGTGGGTGGGGGGCTGTAACGGGCTCCCCTCCCCCCCTTGGCACCAGGCACGGGACCCGCTGTGCTGGGGAAGTGGCAGCAATAGCAAACAATGGGTTCTGCGGCACAGGAGTGGCCTATAATGCACGCATCGGAGGTACGCGGGCTCTGGCTCCTTGGGCCCCGGGACGCTGGGCGGCCGGGGGTGCCGGATCGAGGGCAGCCCCAGGACGGCACCTTGGGCGGGGGACGGGGCCCGCACGGATGCCCTCCCTCCCGGGGGCTGGACGGACCCGCAGGGGTGGGGTGGGCGGGGCCATGCACAGAGGCCCGACGCCCCCTCCCGCCGCGGCCCCCGCAGGCGTGCGCATGCTGGACGGCACCATCACGGACGTCATCGAGGCCCAGTCGCTGAGCCTGCAGCCGCAGCACATCCACATCTACAGCGCCAGCTGGGGCCCCGAGGACGACGGCCGCACGGTGGACGGCCCCGGCATCCTCACCCGGGAGGCCTTCAGGCGCGGCGTGACCAAGGTGAGCGCACCCCGGGGCCTCGGCGGGCCTGGGCCTGCTCCCAAGGCCGACGCCCCCATCCCGGTCCCCCGTCCCTGTGTGCAGGGCCGCGGTGGGCTGGGCACGCTCTTCGTCTGGGCGTCGGGCAACGGCGGCCTGCACTATGACAACTGCAACTGTGACGGCTACACCAACAGCATCCACACGCTCTCGGTGGGCAGCACCACCCGGCAGGGCCACGTGCCCTGGTACAGCGAGGCCTGCGCCTCCACACTCACCACCACCTACAGCAGCGGCGTGGCCGCAGACCCGCAGATCGTGAGTGCCCCGCGCACCCCAAGTCCGCCAGACAGGCTCCTCCCTCCCCGCCTGTCCCCTGCCCCCTCCTGACCGTCCCCTGCCCCTTCCTGACTGTCCCTGCCCCTCCCTGACTGTCCCCTGCCCCTTCCTGACTGCCCTCTGCCCCCTCCCCGCCTGTCCCCTGCCCCCTCCTGACTGTCCCCTGCCCCTTCCTGACTGTCCCCTGCCCCTTCCTGACTGTCCCCTGCCCCCTCCTGACTGTCCCTGCCCCTCCCTGACTGTCCCCTGCCCTTTCCTGACTGTCCCCTGCCCCCTCCTGACTGTCCCCTGCTCCTTCCCTCCTGTCCCCTGCCCCCTCCTGACTGTCCCTGCCCCTCCCTGACTGTCCCCTGCCCCTTCCTGACTGTCCCCTGCCCCCTCCTGACTGTCCCCGGCCCCTCCCTGACTGTCCCCTGCCCCTTCCTGACTGTCCCTGCCCCTCCCTGACTGTCCCCTGCCCCTTCCTGACTGCCCTCTGCCCCCTCCCCGACTCTCCCCTGCCCCCTCCCCGCCTGTCCCCTGCCCCCTCCTGCCTGTCCCCTGCCCCTTCCTGACTGTCCCCTGCCCCTTCCTGACTGTCCTTTGCCTCCTTCCTGACTGTCCTCTGCCCCTCCCTCCTGTCCCCTGCCTGTTCCCGACTGTCCCCTGCCCCTTCCCTCCTGTCCCCTGCCCTTCCCCACCTGTCCCCTGCCCCTCCCTGACTGTCCCTGCCCATTCCTGACTGCCCTCTGCCCCCTCCCTGACTGTCCCCTGCCCCTTCCCTCCTGTCCCCTGCCTCCTTCCCTCCTGTCCCCTGCCCCTTCCTGACTGCCCTCTGCCCCCTCCCCGACTCTCCCCTGCCTCCTCCCCTCCTGTTCCCTGCCCCTCTCACTTGTCCCCTCCCTGACTGTACTCTGTTCCTTCCCGCCTGTTTATCTCTCACTTTCCCTTCTGCCCCCTTCTCTCCCATCCCCCGTCCTAATTCACTCCCTCCCTCTCCCCTTCTACCTGTCCCCTCCCCCCACCTTCCCTCCTGCTCCCCACTTCCCTTCCTCCCAGGGCTGCCCCACGACACCCCTTCACACATTCTCCTGTCTTCCAGGCAGGGCTGGTTCCCCAGGGCCCTGTTCCTGGGGGCATCTCTGCGGTACCTTCTTGAACCAAGTCTGGGTTTTCGTGTGTACAGGCCCCCCACGGGCCCCTGTCTGCCCCTAGGTCACCACGGACCTGCACCACCAGTGCACGGACAAACACACGGGCACCTCGGCCTCGGCCCCGCTGGCCGCGGGCATGATCGCCCTGGCTCTGGAGGCCAAGTAGGTGACGGAGGGGAGCCCGCTCACCACGCTCAGCCCCCAGCGTGGCCCCAGCTCACCCGCCCTCGCCTGCCCGCAGCCCGTTCTTGACGTGGAGGGACATGCAGCACCTGGTGGTCCGGGCGTCCAGGCCGGCACAGCTCCAGGCTGAGGACTGGAGGACCAACGGCGTGGGGCGCCAAGGTGAGGCAGGGCCAGCTGGAGGTGGGGCTGCCACGCCGCGGGGCGAGTGCCGACCGCCCTTCCGCGCAGTGAGTCACCATTACGGCTATGGGCTGCTGGACGCCAGGCTGCTGGTGGACACGGCTCGGACCTGGCTGCCCACGCGGCCCCAGCAGAAGTGCGCCATCCGGATCGTGCACACCGCCACGTGAGCGCCCTCCTCCACCGCCCTCCCCCCGCTGTGCTCGTCTGTCCTCTCCCTACACCTGTCATTACCATGGGGGGTGGGGCTGGCAAACACGCGGGAGGCTGGTCCCGAGGCCTCTGCTTACTCATCTTCAAAGAAGAGGGTGCGCCCCGCGATCTGAGCCCAGACCCCACCTGCTGGCCGCCCATCCCCCAGCAGGCCCGCAGGAGGGGCCCTCACCCCCCACGCCACCCCTAGACCCATCCTGCCGCTGATGCAAGTGAGGAAGAACGTGTCGGCCTGCGCTGGCCGTGCCAGCTACATCCGCTCGCTGGAGCACGTGCAGGTGCAGCTCTCGCTGTCCTACAGCCGCCGGGGGGACCTGGAGATCTCGCTCACCAGCCCCATGGGCACCCGCTCCACGCTCGTGGCCATCAGGTACCAGGGCGGAGGGCCGGGCCTGGGGCAAACGCACACCGTGGGCTCAGGGCGCGTCTGGGTGGGTCTGCTCCGGCCAGACACCTGCCCCCCGTGGGAGCCCTCCCGGCAGCCAACACAGGGCCCGCTCCACCCCCCGCCCCGCCTTCTGTCCCAGACCCTTGGACGTCAGCGGCCAAGGCTACAACAACTGGATCTTCATGTCCACCCACTTCTGGGACGAGGACCCGCAGGGCTTGTGGACTCTGGGCCTGGAAAACAAGGGCTACTATTTCAACACGGGTGAGAGCTGCATGCAGGCTGGGGCCTCGGGCTCTGGAGCCGCCCGGGTACCCCACTGCCAAGGGGCTCCCAGCGGTCTCCCCGAGAGGCCGAGCTGGTGTGTCTGGCACATCGTATGTTCCCATCGGCGTTCGGTGCCCGGTGCACAGTGGGTGCTCAGCCTGGGCGCCGTCCGGGGCTGGGACTGCAGCTCGGGGTCGGGTGGCTGGGGAGAGGGGCCCAGACGGGCGGGACCAGGCTGCCAACAGCCTCTCCCCCTCTTCCCCACGCCCACCGCAACCCCTGCCCAGGGACGCTGTACCGCTACACGCTGCTGCTGTATGGGACGGCCGAGGACATGTCGGCGCGGCCCCCGGGCCCCCAGGTGACCAGCAGCGCGTGTGTGCAGCGGGACACAGAGGGGCTGTGCCAGGGTGAGTGCCTGACGTGGCCCGGCCCGCCTGCTGGGAGGCGGCAGCCGCGGGCAGTGTGCGTGTGCAGCCTGGGGCGGGAGGGCAGGCAGGGCGACGGGCCTTGGCCTCACCCCCCACGTGTGTGTCCCCGGCGCAGAATGCCACGGCCCTGCCTACATCCTGGGCCACCTCTGCCTTTCCTACTGCCCCCCGCGGTACTTCAGCCACACCCGGCAGGCAGTGACCGCGGGGCCGGGGCGCTCGGCCCCACCCGCCCTGCGCGTCTGCTCGAGCTGCCACCCCTCCTGCTACACCTGCCGTGGCGGTTCCCCACTCAACTGCACCACCTGCCCCCCCGCCTCCACGCTGGACGAGCATCGGGGCTCCTGCTCCGGACCTGCCCCTCCCAACAGCACCCCTGGGCCCACCGCAGTGGCCCACCCCAGCTGCCACCATGGCCGAGCCCAGGCCGTGGTCCTGGCCTTGCTGGCCATGGCCTTTGGGAGCCCCTTCCTCTGCAGCGTCCTCTCCGTAGGCTGCCTGCCGCCGTGCGGGGGCCTCCCCCATCACCACCCCCGGTCTGGCTGCTGGCGGGAACCTAGAGACATCTGACGAGGGGCCAGGCACCGCTGTCTTGCTCCTTTGCTTCAGCTGGAACCGGGGCTGGGGCTGCGAGAACCTGCCCTGAGAAGGCCCTGGTTGATCACTGAGGCCCTCGGGCCAGGGGCGGCCTACATGGAACCCTGGACCGGAAATTGGCAGGTCCAGGGGAAAGAGAGAGAGAGAAAAGTCTAGTTACACAGTTTGGGGTGGGGGTGGGGTGGGGTGGGGCAGAGGTCAGGCTGTGACGACCATCCCTTCCCAGCCCCAGAAGTGGGGGGGAAGGGCAAGGGGAGCAAAGGACACCATCCAGAGTCTCAGGCACCACGTCTGACCTCAGAGTTTGCAAATAAAGGTTGAATAGGAGGTGCTAAGTCTGCGGTCTCCTTTGGGGAAGGGGCAGGCCCCCCATCCCCATGGCATGGTTGGGGGTTCCCTTGTGCCCGCGTGGAAACTGTCTTCTCCCGGACATCAGGCCCCGCAGGACCCAGCGGCCCACAGAGGAAAGGGGGTCAGCCCAGGTTCCAGAGACCCCAGTTGTGGTGGGGGCCCAAGCCAGGTGGAGGGTTGCATTCCTAACTCCCTAAGTTCCCCTCCATCCTGCTCGGGGAGTTTCTCTTTAACACTGAGAATTCACAGAAGCGTGATTCTCAAATGCTCTTCCACCCACACGGGCGGCCCCGGGGACAGACCCCGAGCCCACGACGCTCAGGGAGGGACCCAGACACAGACGGCCACACGGGGTGTGAGTCCACGTGGGTGACACGTCAAGAGCAGGCTCATCCACGGACGGGAAGGGGGCTCGTGGGGGCCGGGAGCTGTGGGGGGTACAGAGAGTGACGGCAGATGGAGACATGGCTTCCTTTTGGGGAGATGGAATGTTCTGGAACTAGACTACAGCGATGGTTGTACCTACTTCTCAAAACCACCGAATTGCACACTTTACACAGGTGGACTGTACGGTGTGTAGCTTACATGCAATAAAGCTGTTAAAAGGCACAGTGGGGCGCCTGGTGGCTCAGTCATTAAGCGTCTGCCTTTGGCTCAGGTCATGATCCCAGGGTCTTGGGATTGAGCCCCGCATCGGGCTCCCTGCTCAGCGGGAAGTCTGCTTCTCCCTTTGCTTCTGCCTCTCTCTCTCTCTCTCTCTCTCTCTCTCTCTGACTCTCATGAATAAATAAAACATTAAATAAATAAATAAATAAATAATAAAAGGCACAGACCCGCCCTCTGCTCAGCCTGTCTTCCCACCCTCGACGTCAGGGGAGGAGCCCAGGCGGGAGGTGTTAGGGACCGGAGGGGCGACGCCGACCTGCGTCCGGCGTCCCTGGCCAGCTCCCCGGTTACTGGCACAGTCACCCCCTTGCACGGGTAGTAACTGTGTTCCCACGACAGCCACGTGGGTTCTGCGCCCTGTCCCCTTTTGGCAGAAAACCAGTACTCCGTGTTTTGTGACGCAGCGAGGGGAGCCGGGACAGGACCCCACGCCCACTCCATGCTCTTCCAGGACCCGCGAGCCGGGGAGGCTGAGGTCGCGCACTTCTCGGTCCGGTCTGACGGGACTGGGACCCTCGCGGGCGCGGCCCCTTTAACAGGGGGCGTGGCCTCGCGACGAGGGGCGGACAGGAGCCAGAGGAGGCAGGAAGTGTGCGCCGCGTGCTTGGGGGGCGGGGCCGCGCTGCGACCGGAAGCGGAAGTGGGTTTTCAGCGGCGCTGGCCGCTCTGTACGCGCGCCAGGGTGAGGCGGTAGGTGCGCTCGAGGCTTTCACGGGGAAACTGAGGCAGAGATGGAGCCGGGCGCTGAAACCCCTGGCCCCATGCTGCCGGTCGTTGGGAGGGCCAGAGGCGAAGCGAGCCCGAAGGGGTGGGACAGAGCGGGGCGGGCTTCCCCGGGAACGGGGCTCCGGCGGGTGTGTAGGAGTTTGCTGGGCGGGAGGAAGGGCCCAGGAGAAGGCCGAGAGGTGGACGCCCCGGTCAACGTCCTTTTCTCTCGCCGCCAGGGATGGGGTCCAAGGCCAAGAAGCGAGTGGTGCTGCCCACGCGCCCGGCGCCCCCCACGGTGGAGCAGATCCTGGAGGACGTGCGGGGTGCGCCCTCCGACGACCCCGTTTTCGCCGCGCTGGCCCCGGAAGGTACGAGCAGGGGAGGGACGACCCTGCCCCAGCAGCAAGGGGCGGGGGGGCACACCCCAGCCCCAGCCCGGGCAGCAGGTCCCTTGAAGCCGTGGGATTACGAGCGCCATCCGTACCGCTCTGAGCTCGCTCTGCACGCCCGTGAAGGGGGGCGCACGGATCGGCCCGCGCCGCGGCCACATCCCGCTCGCCGCCTCTTCTCTACAGCCTGGCAGCTGAGAAAGCAGTTTTCCGGCGCGGCCGGCTCAACTGGGGGAGCCTGCGACTCGGTCTGGGGTCGAGCCCCACGCCGGGTGTGGAGATTAAAGAAAAAAGAATGGATTTTTCATTTTCAGCTGCGGGGGTGAGAATGCGTGGTGACAAGGGAAATGCAGGAAGTGGGGATCTCAGGGCCAGGGGTCGAGTGGGCACAGAGCCATGCCCATGGCGTGCATGCCCGGCGGCCGCCCTGAAGGCGTGTGGCAGAGGGCGCATTGGGACGGCCAGCCCAATGCGCCCTCTTTTGTATGCCCGGCCTTTTGTGGGAAGCCTTCGTCCACTCCTGGTTCTGAAGACAGAAGCATTGGGCGTACAGCAGTCGGGTGAATTTTGTGTTCTGCTTGGTGGGGTTCGTGTATTCGTTCATCGGACAGTCACAGAGACCGTGTTCTGTTGGCCAGGGCTACTGTTCGGAGCCCTGGGGCCAACGGGATGGCCGAAAGTGCACGCCCTCGGGTTACGCTGGTGGAGGACACGTTCACCATTAGTCTGGGAAACTGGAGAGGCTAAGAAATGCTCTGGAAATTTTATTTATTTATTTATTTAGATTTATTTATTTATTTGAGAGAGCGAGAATGAGAGAGAGAGCATGAGGGGGGAGGGTCAGAGGGAGAAGCAGGCTCCCTGCCGAGCAGGGAGCCCGATGCGGGACTCGATCCAGGGACTCCAGGATCATGACCTGAGCCGAAGGCAGTCGCTTAACCAGCTGAGCCACCCAGGTGCCCTGCTCTGGGAATTAAAAAAAAAAAAACTACGTAATAGGAAAAATTTGGTGCTTTGCTCCATGTGGCTGTATTTCATGTGCTCAAGAGCCACTCGTGGCTGGTGGGTGGCTCTCTATCGGACCGGAATGTTCTGTTGCACGGGGCAGCCCCACAGCCCGTGTCCACCAGCGTTCCCAGGGAGGGGACACTGAGGCCCGGGCTACGCGAGGGCCCACAGAGGGGGAGCTTGCCTGTGACCTTGCATGTGTGTTGTGTGGCCTGTGTCCCGCCTTAGTACCGACGCAGGTCAAAGACCGGGGAACCAGGCAGGGTGGAGAGCATCTCGACATGCCTTTGGGCGGCCTGCAACCCTTGCTGTCGTGCGCTGCCCTCCCCGGGCCTGTGCTGTTTTAGGAAGCAGGGGCGCGGGGACCTGGGCCACCTCCCTGACTGTTGGATTTCACAGGGTTGCGCGGCCAGGGAGGAGGTTTGGGGAGGCGCGACGCAGCATCTGGCTCTGAGAGCGGCGTGGGAGCCAGCCTGCTCTGTGATTCCACCATGGGGTCGCCGCCCTTTGCAGGAGTGGAGGCCGATACCCAGGCAGGGCCTCAGGATGCAGGTGCCAGGCTTTTTCAGTGATCCATCCCCTCCAGTGGCGTGCTTTGCTGAGGGGATAAGCTGTGTCCTCTCCCCGCCCCTCCCTGACCCGTGTGCCGTGTCCCGTCCCCAGACTCCCTAGGCCTCTCCGGGAAGGCGGAGGACACGGAGGCCCAGCGGGAACAGCTCTACCAGCAGAGCCGAACCTACGTCACCATGAATCAGCGGCTGCAGCAGGCGGGCGCTGGGCTGAAGCAGAAGTGTGAGGAGCTGTGGCGAGCTGGTGAGGAGCTGGAACGCGACGTCGGCCAGGTGAAGCAAGTGGCGCTGCCGGGAGCCATGGCTGCCTCCTTGGGCTGAGCGGTCCGCCTGCTTGCCTGCCCTGGGCAGGGCGCCCCCCGACTCCCCGTGACACCTGACCTGGCACAGCTTAGGCCCCCGGGTCCCATGGTCCGGGCGTGCCCGGTACCCAGAGAGCCCCCGGGACACAGCCGGGCACGGGCGCCTCTCTGGGGGTCAGGCCTGGGACCTGGTGTGGATGCTGCTCACCCCGGGGCTGTGAATCCCAGACTGGACTTCACGTGGGGTCCCCAGCACCCGAGGGCCAGGCCGTCCACCCTCCTCTCCTTCCCTCTGGGGACCCTGCTTCCCCGCATCGTCCCCAATAGACTGAGCTGGTGGGACCCACTCTGCTGCCTCTGTCCATCTCTGCCTGAACTGCAGGGCCCCCGAGATTCCCGAGGAGGCCGGGGGTTCTGTTCCCTCCACCACAGTGGCTGTGGCTATGAGAGGAGCTTTGCCCGGCAGGGCCCAGATGTGAGATGGGGCCTCTGGCGGGTGCCGCCCCTGAGGACCCCGAGCACCCTGACCTAAGGTGTGGGCGCTCCCACAGGGCAGGTTCATGGTCGGGGTGCGGGGCCGGCCTGGGAGCTGTGGGACTGCATCACACGGGGCTCCTGGCCCGTCTCCCACACGAGCCCTTGTTGGCTGCCTCCATCCTGGCAAGCTTCACCTGTGGGTGGGTGTGGGGCCGTGGAACAGAAGCAGATCTTGAAAGGGGTTTTTCACCCTAGAAGACAGACTTTGGGAAGACCAGGGCAACAGTGTCTGCAAGAGGCATCACAGAAGCCAGGCTGCTTGGGGGTATCCCCACTGAGCCCCTCAGGGGCAATCTGCTCAGAACCCGGTCCCCTGCACAGTGCCTCTGTGAGCTGCCCCTCTCCTGGGGTCCCTGGAAGCTCCGGGGCGGCATGGTGGGGCGTCCGGAGGTGTTTCTCTTTCCCCGAAGAAGGGGAGTCTGCTTAAGCCTGAGAGACCCCTAAAACGGAACCAGAAAGGAGGCCTGCGGGCACAGGTGTACAGAAAGCCCAGGCTTGGCTCCCGAGATGGCAGTGGACGCCAAGACTGCCCTGTCCAGGCTGGGCCCCCTCGCGCATCAGCACCCTTCCACAGCTAACAGCCCGCCCGGTGCGAGGCGCTTCACCCCTCCCTGCTTGGCCCTGGTCTCCAGGCGCTGCCTGACTCTGGGGTGCTGTCTGCTCTCCGGAGCCCCCCCGGGGGTCAGGCGGGGGCGCGCTTGCTGACCTCCCTGTGCTGCCGTCCCGGGGCCAGGCCACACTCCAGCTCTGCCTCCAGGGGCCTGGCCGAGGAGGACTTCTGAAGGGTGTCCTAGCGGGTCGGCTCCTGGCGGAGGCCAGGCCCCTCCAGCCCCACCGCACCCGCACCCGCTTGGAAAGAGCCACAGGCAGCGGGGCGCGGTTCGACAGCTGGGTTTATTAAAGGTGCACGTAAGACGCCTGGTTCCGCGGGTTCCTTCGGCCAGACGATGGCTGTGTGGTTAGTGGGGGCAGCTGGGGCTGTATTTACAGAGGCTCTGTAGTGCTGCAGAGATGAGCAGAGATGCAGGGGACAGACCCAGACGGCCAGGCTCGGGCTGGGGGCGTGTGGCCGCCAGCCGGGTGACGGGTGGGGGGCAGCAGGGGTGAGGTAATGCCACGCCAGCAGGTAGCCCCAAATTCAGCACCCAGCTAGTGGTGGTGTCCGTCCGGCCCGGGGTCCAAAGTCCCAGGCCTGGGCTCCCAGGCGTCCCCGTCGGGCTTGCCCCAGGAGGGCTCCAGAGGCGGAGGGGCCCTTCACGGTTCCCTTGGCAGGTGGCTTGGTTGGTCCTTCAGGTCCTGAGACCTCAGGCGTCCAGCTCCCGACTCGGGTTGATTGTCGGTGGCCGCCACCTGCCGCCGCCTGCGCAGGCTGGATGATGAGGTGTGGCTGTGCCCCCACGCGGGGGCTGGGAAAGGCAAAAGTGGCTGCCGGGCGTGGACAGGACATGAGCCCCCGGGGTGCCGCCGAGGTGGAGCTGCCTTCCTGCCCTGCCTGTGGAGACGATATGCCCGCGGCCAGATGGGCGCAGGCAGCAGCGAGGGAGGGTCCAGAAGCACAGGTCTCTCCCCCGGGCGTGGTGGTCTCTCCACTCGCCCAAGAGGTAGCTCTGGGAGTTCTCCCCACGGCCCACGTGGGGGAAACTGAGGCACAGAGCAGCGGAAGCACTGCCCAGGGTCTCACAGTGCACGAAGCCGTGGGCCCCATGACCGGATGAGCTGGTGGTGGGTCCGCTGCTGCTTCCCTCCCCCCCAGGCCGTCACGGGAGCACCTGCCCCGTGGAGATGCAAGCATGATGTCTGGCAGTCCCCAAATCCAGAAAGGAGCTTAGAGGAGCCCCAGTCCCAGCCCTCCAGGCTACAGTGGGGACCGCGACTGGCGGTTTCTGAGAAGAGTCTGAGACACTCTGGTGTGTCCCCGGGGGCGGGCTGTGGCCGTTCGCAGCTGGCTCAGCCACCGTCACCGCCTCTGCTGCTGGCCACCCTGCCTCCTGCCCGTGGGCCCTCTCTGGCCGGGCCCCGGCTCCCGTCACATGGGATGGGGCGTTGGTGATGCAACATGACAGCAGCAGGGTGTCCGTGGGGTCTGGGATCAGCACGGCTCACGAGGGTTTCCCGTGGGGATGGTCAGCCACAGGAAACACTTCGGGTAATGGGGCGGGACAGTGATGTCTGCGGGCGGGCCTCGCCACGCGCGCCTCCTCCAGAGAAGGGACGTCGGTGGCCGCGTCCTGTCTGCCCGAGCATTGGCTCAGGCGCGGCGGCTGTCATGGCAGACCCGCTTGCCGAGAGCAGCTGCTCCCCAGAGCCTCCGTGCGCAGGAAAGAGGTCGTTGGCTCTTTCTGCAAGGAGGTGCCCTTGGAGCTGACCCCGAACACGTGCGCGCACGACCCCTGAGCGGCCTGGCGGCGGGAGGGGAAGAAGTGAGGCCTCGGGGTTCGCTGTCCCTGCGTCTGTCCCGAGTCTAGCACCCGGTGGTCAGCATCCCCCGCGCCCGCTGCTGCAGTGCTGTCCCGAGGCGGAGATGGTGCGCCTGGCGCAGAGCCCAGGGAGCCCAGCGCTGTGTGTGGGGCGAAGGAGAAGGGAATCGAAAAGCTGGCGGCCGCCTTCGGGTACATCCCTCCACACGCTTCCTCCCACAGGTGCGCTCGCAGACCCTGGCGTCGTCCCAGCACCCGCACAACCCCCGGAGGGTCGCCCTGCGACGCGCCTGGACCTCCGTCCCACTGCACCGTGCCCAGCTCCGGGGCCCCCCTTCCCCCGGCCAGGGCTCCGTCTGCGCCTGCCGCTGACGCACCAGCCCGTCCCTGTTCGTCCAGGCTGCTCCGCCTCCCTAGGCGGCGCTGTCTGGGGCGGGGGCTTTGAGTCGGGCTCAGCCGCTCCCTACCCCCACACTCCCCAGCTGGGGCTGAGAAGGCAAACAAACCCACAAAGCCATCATTAACCAATTACCGGGCCTCCAAAATTACAGGCTTTGTCCCCGTGTAGGCTGGCCCCCAGCTGGCAGGCGCTTGCTTAATGGGCCACCCTCCCCAGCCCTGTCCCCCACCTCGGGCGGGCTGTCACCTTCCTGCGGCTCCTGACATGGGGGGGGCTTGCTGAGGCTTGGGCCCAGCGGAGCTCGGGGCCCTGGAGCGTGCTGCAGAGGGTGGTCCAGGCTGGGAGGGTGGTCTCTGCGTGGGGGCCAGGCTGGGGCCAGACGGCCTCGCTGTGCGCACTCCAGGCTGGGACTGGAGGTCCAGCCGGCAGCCCTGTTCCCTCCAGAGCCCCCACAGCACGGAAGCAAGCGTCTGTGCGTGAGATGTGAGGCCAGTTCAGGCTGCAGTGGGGCTCCCAGGGCGCGGGCTCTGGTGGGTAGAGGGACCGTGGAACCACCCTCCAGGCAGCCAGACCAGCCCTTGGCTTGGAAAGGATGTTCTAGAAGGCGGGCCCTGGCCGCTATTCCAGGAGGCTGGCGGGGGCAGCGGTGGGGGCTTTCTCTGCAGCCAAGTCAGTGGTGGCTGCCACCATGGGGCTGGGCACATAGTTGAAGGGGGAGACACGGGCTGAGCGGCTGGGGGAGCCATGCCGGCTGGCAGGAAAGCCCCCTGCAGCCACCCCCAGGCCCTCATGGACAAAGGGAGCAGAGGTGGGCGCCTTGGTGGGACCGGGCCCGTCCACATCGCTGCCAAGGAGGGCCATGGGGCCGCTGACCGGGGCCTGGGGGGGGGCCCTGCTTTCCAGGCTCGGAGACGTGCTGGAGTTGGTCTTAGCGGCAGCAAAGTCCTCCGTCTGGACCACGGCATCGCTGGTCTTGCGCTGTGGGGGGCCGCTGGGGCCCTCCTCAGATGGGGCGCCCATCAGTGGCAGGGCAGTGGCGGGCAGCGTGCTCCGCAGGATGTGTGGAACGTCCTCGTCCCGGATGCGACGCCACGTGGTGCCCGGCGCCGCCACCCTTGGCAGCGGCCGGGCCTCCCCATCGCTGCTGCGTCGGGCAGCGTCGGTGGTGGGCCCGGGGGCAGCCGCGTCGGGCCTGCGGGCCACGCTGATGTGCGGCAGGGAGGCGTAGCGCTTGACCGTCTCGGGCCGTGCGGCCGGGGTGCGGACAGGCAGGCGGGACAGACTCTCGGAGCTGGGGCGCCGGGCCGGCCGCTCGCTGGGACTGGGCCTGGCCACGGGGGCTCGCTGGGGGACCGGAAGCTGCCGGGGGGTTGCCCGCAGCTCGTCGCAGCGTGAGGAGCACAGGAAGACAGCAGGCAGCGCGGGTCGACTGCGGCGGGGTGAGCCACCCTGGGAGGCGGGGGGCGCAGCCTCGGGGGCGGAGAGTTCCGACCGGCGGCGGCGCAGCAGGCCCGGGGACTCCTTGATAAAGGTCAGCTGCCGCCGGAAACCCGAGCGGTCGGAGGACTCGCTGCCGCTGGAGCGGGCAGAGGCCACGCGCACCAGGCCCAGGCGGCCCCCTCGGGCGCCAGGGCTTCCTTCAGCTGCTGCCCGACCCCGGGGGCCTGGCTCTGGGGCTGCCCTGGCCAGGGGTGGCGGCCCCCGCCTGGCTGGCCTCTGCATGAAGGGGATCCGCACAGGTGACTTCTGTGTCTTGTGCTGCTTGGACAGCAAGGCCCGTGTGGGTGTTTGGGGCACCAGAGATGCCCTGGGGCCGGGGAGGGGCCCTGCGGCCTGGGCGCCTGGGGGCGGCCTCCTCGTAGGGGGCTGGGAGGCCGGAGAGGCCGGGGAGGAGCCGGATGAGGGGGCCTTGGCCAGGCGGGCGGGTGGTGTGGCGCTCCTCTGAGGAGGGCTCAGCGCCGCCAGCTCCGAGATCTTGCCTGGCCGGTGCAGGCTTTGAGACCGCTGCTGCCCGGGGCTGGGGGTTTTGGCGGGGGCTGCTGGCTGCGCAGGACTCGGGGGTGCCATCTTCCTTGGTGCCATGCAGGCGCCAGCGTGGCCTCTGGGCGGGGCCCGGGGGGCCGGGCTGGGCATATAGATCACGGTCCGTCCCCGGAGCACGGCCGGCACCCTGCACGCGGTCTTCTGAGCACCGCGCAGCTTCTCGGGGCCCCTGGCGCTGTGCTGGGCCAGGGCCGAGTCCCGCTTCTCCGGCCTCGCGGTGCTGCCCGCCGGGCCCCCCGCCTGCAGCCGCCGTCCCTTCCGGTGCAGGGGGGGCTGCAGGGTGGAGCTCCCGGACAGCCCGGACCCGGACAGGATCGAGTCAGACCCAGACGAGGCCTCGTGGGTGGCCGCCGCCGCTGCCTGGTGCAGCCACGTGACAATGGAGTTGGCGCCCTCCTGGATGGCACGCCACTCGACGCTGTCAAGGTCTGAGGCATGGTCTGAGCTCGCCGCCTCATCCCCGCGCTCCCGGAGCGCCTCTGCTGGCCGCGCAGCCTGGGGCTTGCGGCGCCGTGGGCCCGATGCCTGCAGCCGGCGCCTGGGCACCGCGGAGCCAACGCAGCGCCGGAGCAGGCCCGTCTCCGCCCGCGGGCTCGGGGGGCCGTTACGCGCACCCCCAGTGCCTGGCACCTTGTTGGCCGCTGGCTGGGGAGCATGGGGCCGGCTGGCCGGGGGCTCAGGGGGCTCAGGCTCGCTGAGGGAGCTGGCGGAGGAGCTCAGGGAGTAGCATGGTGGCGTCTCGTCGGCGATGAGGCTGGGCTGGGCGCGGGCGGCTGGCGTGGCCTTGGGCGTGACCTTGGGCAAGGCCTGCACCTCCTTCCTGCCGGCCTGGTGCTCTCTCCTTACTGCACGGGGGATGGCTGACGCCCGCCGCGGGGTCACCAGCGCCTCGGAGGGCTCCTCATCGGAGTCGTTGTCGTAGAAGCAGTACACGGCCTCCTCGGTGGGCGTCGTGAGGCACAGTGACTGCGGCGCCCCGTCCCCGTGCGCAGGGATGGGGCGGGGGCTGGCCCGGTCCGTGCAGGCGCTCGAGGGCCCGCGGAGGGGCAGCTCCA